TTCTTACAATCAGATTTGTACCGTAACCGATATGATTTTCTAATCAAAGCTTATACATTTTTTAAAATAGTATTGAAAAATCCACATACCATAATAATAAGTGTAATTATTGTAACAAGGCTGTGCTCTAGTTTATAATGAAGGGAAACTCAGAGCTCTGAACCTGTGAAATCCAGAGTGATTTCGTCATTGCTCAAGAGCAAAAAGAGGGTGCCAGGGGCTTTTGGGTACTGCTAGAGCACAGCCCTGAATATTTATATAATATGAAAAGAAACTACTCAACTTCCTCAATTTTTTTCTTTTTTTATTTACAATTATATTTTTCTTCTTTTTTTTTTTTTGACAAATTATCCTTAATACTTTAACGAGCACCCTGGGAGCAATTTTGAGGCAAAACTTACATTCCAGCACTAACCATATCAGATAGGTTTACATGGAGTATTTAGTCATGAATAATATTTAATATAGTGAACAATTTATTTTTTGAATAATAATAAGGGGGAGAGAAGAGTAATTTATAGTGAGAGAGTTAGTTGAAATGCCGGGAGGGGAGGGGCAGGGGGTAGACAGAGAATTTACAGTAACAAAAGCTAATTTTCATTTTTTTTTGATGTTTTATATTCTGCTGGCCTCTGCTCTGCTCCTGCTCTGTTGTGTTCTGTTCTGTAAGAGAAAAAAAAGATACACGTAGTTGCTTGTTGTGTTATGTTCTTTGCTATATTACAACCACAACGTTTTTTTTCTGAAGTATTCGTGTAGCTCAACCAATCCCCCTCCCTCTTTTACACTTCTTGTTCACTTTCCGCAGAACCTTTACTTACATGAGAGGAGAAGAGGAGAGTGACTTTTATACTTTTTGTGGGTCAATACTACCCCTCTTTTCAGCTTTTTCAACGATAATTTTACAATTGTATTAAATGAATGTGTTCCCTGTGTTAAATAATTTTATCATTAATTTTATTGATGACTCGAGTATATTTTTCCTTGGCTATTGAAGCTTCAATTGCTCATGTCTTAAGGGACAAGTTTGAAGGCCATGAATTCTGAATTATATTTGACTGCCTTGTTTTCTTCTTCTGCTTTTTTTTTCAACTTCCACCTATGTTGAGAGTTATTTCACTTCTTGGACGTGACGACACACAAAAAATAAATTAAACCTGTTGTTAATCAACCTGGTTGCAACATGAATGTAGTTAAGCATTGTGCTAGCTATCACGAACGTTTTGTCATGACGAACGTTTCGTCATAACGTTTTCGTTTTTGACGCGATAGCTCTATGATCTAAACCTTGACAAGGAACATCAGATATCAATCATTAAGCCATTCGCCCCTGAGCCGTCCGTAACCGCCCATGCGGATTCATAGCCTATCTATCCATAGAGAAACAAAAATGAGGCAAGAAAAGCGAAAAAAGAGGGGAGGAGAGAAACCGAAAAATAAAAGTCAAGACTGCAAGCTAATATTTTGCATCTGGATCAGAAGGTTGCGAAGTGTACGACCTGTAAACGGCTTTGTGGTAAGTTTTAGCTCTTTATAGCACGTTAGTGACCAGAAAACCACTCGACTAGCTTTAAAACGCGTTTGTCGGCAAAATCTTCAGGGGCTAATGCGTTAAGCAATAATGTTTGCTCTGAATCAAATGATTTGTTCCTTGACTTTTCTGAAATAAAAGCCGTGGAAGATGCGTTGCATTACATCAAAATGTATGTGGCAGGAGTTTCAGTAGCCTGACAAAACAGCCGACATTTGGGACGCTACCACTGGTTTCTCTGCAAAATGACGTCTGAGAAACGAGCACAGAAGTTCCATGCAAACTGATGACGCCTCTACCCAGATCTGGGTAGTGTTTCTAATTGGTCGCGCCACGTACGTGGGAAATTTGATTCAACCAATCAGAAGCACAACCCAGATGTGGGTAGTAACGTATCATCAGTATGGAATTTCTGCGCCCGTTTCATTTGTGAATTAAAAATATTTTGCTCACCTATGTTCACTACTTGGATTTGCGATTTTTAGCTTCAGGATTTTTTTTATCTTTGCGGCAGTTTTTCACAAAATTTTGCCCAACACTGGAGTGTTTGAAGAAATATCGTGTACTAAAAAACAATTCAAACTCCAAAAAGACGCAATACTCAGTAACCTCAAACTAAATTTTATTATGTCACACTGAACATTACAATGTTTAGAAAGTTCATAAATGTTACGCATCGAAGGATTTCAATGACGGTGCCAGGGGAAATCCAAGTCGTCGATGGTTATTTCTCTTTTATTTTGTTTTGTTTTATATCTATTGACCTTTGCATTGGTAAAAGTATCCTTATGAGTTCAGTCGCTCCATTCAAGGGAATCCGGATTCCAGAATCCCGGGAAATTTCGGAATCCGAAATCCAAAATCCAAGACTGTCTTACATACCCTTACGTTGAGGCGAGTTCAACCTTATTGTTGTGTCTGGTGCCCCTTTATAGTTCTTGAACTCAGATCATGCATGATATGTCCAAGTTGCGACCTAGAAATCCCCCGTCCCCGCCAAGATTATCATTGTTTACACTATTTTCAAAGGGTATATAATTTGGAGAGTAATGATTAAAGGTTTCGTAATACATAAACCAGTAAAAACTAACGCGGATAAAATCGAACTATACTTTTTCGGTGTCATCGTGACGCCATTTTCATGTTTAAAAAGTGTCTGGCAGATAAAATGAAAATGGCTTCACTGATCGAAGTAGTGTCGTTCGATTATCTGCTTTATAATTTGAAGAGTAAAAATAAAATAAGTCTTGAAGCCCCGTGCAAAAGGACGCAACATTGTTGGCCAACAACTCCCAACATTGTTGGATGTTACATGTTGCGTCCGTTTGCACACCCTGTTGCATGTTGTTGGATGTTGTTGCGTGTTGTTGCGCAACGTTTGAAACCGGTCAAACTTTTCAGCCAACAACTCCCAACATTTCTTTTGTTCCGTTATCGCCGTAGCGTAGCGCAACAATGTTGGATCCGTTTGCACAGCTCTTCCAACATTGTTGGGGCCACGCACGCTCATTACGCATGGTTTACAAAGACTTATGGGTTGTATCCTTCCCACGATGGACTGCAGGTCTCGACACTGTGGAAGTTGTTGCATCCGTTTGCACACCACTGCCAACATGCACGCAACAACTCCCAACATTGTTGGCGCAACAATGCCATACAGAGCCTCAGTCAATTAAGTTCTAAATGAATATAACTTTTAACTCTACATAATACCAGAATGCTAGAATTTCACGTACAACCCTTTTTTAATTTAAACTTTTTATCGCTAGCGTTTTTTAAAAGTACACCCTTGATTACGTTATTATACACCTATAGTCCACCTTAAGCAAAGAGAGTAAACTCTTTGTTTGAAAAACTTGAACAAGGTCTTCTATATATGCTTGTCTTGGAAAACTTTGTGGTTATCAATCAAGCTAAAGTTATTTCTTTTCTAGCGCATGTCTGATAATATAAAAGAGCAGTGTATAATTTCTAATGCTTATATAAGTACAGTTTACTTAATATTCTGATTTTGCCTTCATCGTGCGAAAATTAAGGTGCCGTTATCGTGGTTAAAGGATGCCTTACCGCGACAAAGACACGATTCTCGAAATGACAGAGAACTGTAATCGGGCCTCGATGCACGGTCACTTATGTATCGCATTGGCGAAGTTATGCATTACTTGAAAGTTCACGTTCATGAATATTTATTGGTCAGTTTTAAACTTTAGAGGAAAATTTAGTATTAATTGATGCAGGTGCATCTCTAAACGTTTCGTCTATTCTGGTCAATAGTTTACTGTATAGCTAAGTGAGATCGAAAGTTTATAATTTTAAAACAAAAGTTCAGACAAAATGGCGTCTCTATACGCTTTGTTAATTAATGTATGCACATTCATTGCACAGCAAAGGTGCAGAAAATCTAGTTTCTTTATAAACAATTGAGCGGAAATGTAAAAGTAAATGCAGTGTTAGACCATTTTTGACAAAAAGGATGTCACCAACAGCGTGGCCGCAAAAGATCCGTCGACACCCTTGGAAAGAGAGCCTTTGAAATCACTGCATTAAGCTTACTAAGTTTTTGCCAAATATTTCAGAAACGCGGGTGGGGGGTTGGTAAATGCAGTGAGCCCGATGTTAAAAATGGAAAAGAAATTGTGGAAGAATCAATTGATTGTAAGGGAGGCGGGTCTTGTTGATTCTCAGGAGCATAGCCACTCTATAGGCCTGTAGGCCCGGGCCTACAATTTCTTCTGTCCGCTTGACTTATTTCTGTTATTCTTCTTTTCGCTATTGGATAGGTTGGTTGTAACTTGTATCATTTAAGGAAGGCCCTTTTCACAATTGGTACTGAGATTCAGTATGAAATAGGGACGAATACAATTGACAGAAATAGAAAGAATAAAGACATTTTTGAAGATTAGGCTGTGTAAAAGAAACATTCCGCTGCTGCAGTGAATTATCCGGTCCCTTCGGTTCCTCAGTAGACGCTAGTTTAGGAAACAGGCCTACAACATTTCAAAAAGCTGGAAACGCCCCCTGACTGTGGTAAGAAAGCACTAGTTTTATTGTCAACTAAAGGGGAAACCGATTCAGTTATAAAATTTTTTGCCATCTGTAGTCTTTGTAATTATCTACTTTTACAAATCTGTAAGGAGGATCCAAAACCACGTCTTTTACGGTTGTTCCAGCCGCCGGGGATGGAAAACTCGCTTAATTGGGAAAACAAAAAACAAAAAAACTGTTCACTTCTCATAAATATCCCGATTGCAATGCAAGCTGATTTGACATCAACTAAAAACTTGACTACCGATAGAAAAGCAGTAATTTTCCTTTTAAGTTTTACCTTAATAGATGATTAATTGATAAGAAACATGCAGTTAACTGCCTGTAAAATAATTAATATTTTCAAACTACAACACCAGCTTACTGTAATATTGATTAAAAGACTAGGTGCACCAGCTGCCGAAAGTGATTTAGAAGTTATCTTTTAAGTTGTTTCGTAAAATATTTCCATTTCGTCTGGTGTAAAGTATTGATCACTACCCCCGTGCAGGAATGTGTAGGTAAAGGTGTCTCCATATTTGTACCCACTTGGTGCGTTGTAAGTATAGCCAATGTAGGTACTATAGGTACTTCCACTAAAGTAAATGTCCCAGCCATATCCGAACGTAGGTCCATGATCTGAGCAGTCGTATATGGAGTGGGCTTTGGAATAACTATACTGCCCTGTCTGAGGCAATTTTACAGGCGCCCATCCTGGCTTGTTAACCAGCGAGTAAAGAAATGCCTGGGAATCATATCGATGTCCGGGGCAACTGCTGTGACCTACTGGGAAAATAATAAAAGGAAAAAGCTGATAGAGATACAGACCCTAAAGTAAATTCGTCTTGTTCCGGTCCGCAGACTGCTAGCGGTAGCTGCGAATCTAGCTCGACATTATCATTATTATTATTACTGTTATGCAGAGTTCTCAAATGGATGCTAAAAGCTTTAAAAGCTACACAGGGCGCACAGCGTAACCTGTGAGCCTAGGCGTTAACAAGAAATATAACCATAATGATAAAAAAATATCTATAAAAATATCTACATCTATTCTGATACACCCTAAAAATTACAAATCACTCGTCTCGTGATTTGCGTTATATATCATCACAAAAAAAGAATCCAAACATGGCCTTAGACAAGATAAAAAAACAACAACAACAACAACAACAAAGAATCGTTCGGTAACAGTGAATCGTCCGGTCAATATTGGACGTGCCCGACAGCACCGCCTCCTGCATTCTTTTTAACACCTCTTTACTTCTGCTCCCCACAATCTTTCTTATTGTAGTGTCCATCTCCTGTGACCACCCATCAAGGGGATCAATGATGATGTTGTGCTTTTTCACCTTATAACCAGAGAACTGCTGTTTTAATTCCCGACAGGGGGTGGGGGGGGGCAGACTTTACGGTCTTCTCTTCGTTCTTCTTCTCTTTGTTTTTGACCCACAGAGAGCTCGTCTAGAGTGTAATAACCCGCTTAGTCTTGTGGTTGACGATTTGGGCGTCAACTCTGTTGCATTTCACCTCTTCATGATTTCCAAAAACTGGCACGTCCCAGTAAGCTTGCATGTCATCCGACTCGTATACAGGTTTTGGCTTGGCCGGAGAGTACCAGGATGGAACTTCATCTATGAGTCCCAGGTCATGCAGCATCTCGTAGAAAAGTATCTTTAAGGTAGAGTCGTGTCGGGAAAGGTACTTGGTCTGAACCAGCGCACCGCACCCAAACAAGATGCGAGTCACACTTTCTATGGCCTTACGACACAATCTGTAAAACACCTTGCGGTCCGAACATATATGGGTCTTCTGACTTGCATATAATCGAGTTGGTAATAGTTTGTTCGTACACCTCAAACATGCCGGCAATTAAATGTGTTGGACAGGACTTCCACTCTGTCAGCCACCGAGAGGATCCACTAGCGCTCAATTTTTCGTCCTATAGCCTAGCTGTAACTAGACTTCCCTGCCATCGCTGACTACTAACTTCCTCTTCTAGCCTCACCCCCGCTCTCTACTTGACAATTTCCCAGTTCCGTCTTAACTGTACGGTGATGCTCGAAATTAAGCTCGATACCAAGCTCCTCCGCAAACCTAAACGCGTCTTGGGCAGCCCATTGTTGACAGAATCTTATCGGTCTGGAGATTACAACTGTCTATTAATTATTTCAAATTTTACAGCAAGCAATTGATGGTTTTCACGGTGACGTCATCAGATTGCAAAGTCAAAAAAGCGAGGTTTTAAGAATTCTTATTTACACTAGGTTGAAGATTAATAGGAAATAAATCTTTGTACAAGTTTCCAGCCCCGAAGCATGTTTCATTTCGAAAATACAGCAGTTTGAACTTCCGAGTTTTCACAGTGCGTGACACCAAAAAAGGAATGCTATCTCCTTGAAAAAAGTCTCTTCGCTTGATTTTCAGCAGTTTAACCATTTCAAGTATTAGAAGATATGTTTATGCGCAAGTATGCTAGTTCTCGAGTGAAAAGGAGGAGCTTTTATAGAAAAAGTGAACTCCAGATGTTTTTGTTGATTTCCGGCGGCCATATTGGTGGACAGTTTCTGTCCACCAATATGGCGTCTCCATACAAAGCTCTACAAAGGTGCGTGAAATGTTTCGGCAACTAACTCAGAAACTGTGGGCCACAAAGACCTGAGATTTGGACAAATTGTTTATATATTAGTCTTCTATAACAAATGTATTTTTTTGTGCCGTGTTTATTGCGTGACAGTGAAAACGAAGAATATCCACTGCCCGCAGTAAGCAGATTAGCTAATCAAGGCGAGCAGTGGTTACATTATTTTATATATGTACAAATAGCTCACAAGCAAAGCTAGAGAAAAAGAGTAAAAAAGATTAAATAGATAAACATATGTCAAGTCAATTGATTGTATGCGTGACTGCATACATGACTTGAGGAACTGGATGATTAAAGACCGACTGATGTTAAACGATGATAAGACTGAACTGTTGCTTATAGGTACAAGGCAACAGTTACAGAATGTCAACCTGAATGATATTACTGTAGGTGACACAGTCGTAGAGGCGAAATCAGTTGTGCGAAATCTTGGGTCATAGTTTGATCGTAATCTAGATATGTCATTCCACATAAGTAAGCAATGCGCCTCGGCATTTTAACATTTGCATAATATAAGTCGGATCCCTAGGTTTACATGCGTTTGTTACATCGCGCGTAGATTATTGTAACAGTCTTTTTCAGTATATACTAAAACAGTGGATAGTGTTTTTCGCGCGCTCTGATTGGCCACTCAATCAGTGAATATCCTGCACTATTCACTGATTCACCTCCAGTTCCTCCCAGCGAGCGACGCCAAACTCGAGTAGGTTGCGAGCAAAATGCTTTCCCGGTCTGCTGCCGTAACAAACTAAGAAATTTCACAACTAAACAAGCAACTAAGAAATTTCACACCAAATCAAGCAAGCTATTTCCGAAATACATCAAGAAGGTGACGAAGTTCGGTTTGGAAGTTTTAACAGGTAAAGCCTTGTCTTTTTGACTTGAATAGTTATCGATAAAACCGGTGAAAAAGTTTTTTGTTTACAAATGCAAATTAAGCTTAAGTCTTGCGTTACTTTACTTAGTTGACTTGTTCATAAATAAGCTTAAAACTAAATTTAATAATCTTTTTTACAGAATTATTTTAAATACAAACAGAATTCACAACTCCTTTTGAAGAAATTTCCCCACAAGAACTAAACAAACGCCTTCAAAAGTTTAATTTTTCGCTAAGAAAAAGCGACGACCGCGGCCGTTCGGTCATCGCGCGCCAAAATTGTAATCGTTGGCAATAGTAAATGAGTTAAAAATCATCATTTTGTGCTCAATTATCTCACTGTTTTAGTATATACTAAAACAATTATTAACCTCAGAGTCGGTGGCTAGTAGTGGATATTTTACCTCACCGCTTCGAGGCCTCGGTAAATATCTAATACTAGCGACCTCCACTTCGGTGAATAATTGTTATATATGGCTTGCCAGCTTCTCACCCGAATAAGGTTCACTGCGTTTTAAATGCCGCAGCAAGACTAGTTTGTCGCGCGCCACGCTACTAGGGAGTTTAAGATACTCCGACTACGGACTACGGCTACGGATAAACATGCTACTGCGCATGATCAAAACCACGTGACTGTTCATTTTTCCCGCGTAGTCCTGCGGCTACGGTGAGTTGTTGAGCTGTTTCGCGTAGTCGGGACTACGGAGAACATTTTGCTCGTATTTTGCCGTCTCGGTAATTCAAGAATCTCGTCTTTTCGTAAAAAAGGTTCAATTTGTCTGCTTTAAGTGAGAGGAAAGCGAAATATGTAAGTTGTGTCTAATTTCTGCTCAGATTTACGCTTTTAATCCACCGTTGTGACTACATTTTTATCTAGCTAAGCTCATATTTAAAGAAGCTTAGCTGTTTATACGCAGAATTCCGATTGATGGCCGAGGAGAAGAGAAATCATGCAGGTAATTTACTTTCTCTTCACACTTGAAAAGTTTCAATGTTTGTTCGAACTGATTAGTGTGTCTTTCTACTTGAGTGACCTTTGTTTATGCGCGTTTTTGTATCGCATTTGCTGAATGAAAATGATGTAAACATCTTCGAGACAATCGAAACTGGGCATTTCAATACTTCAAACTACATCAGATCAGTAGTGGGAGAAGTCCATCTTCTAAATCTAATAAATGAGCTATTACTGTTTCTGTCTATTTCTTTAATATTTTACATAAGTATTCATATGCGAAAAAAATAAAACCTGTGCAACCAAAACTTTGTTTACCAATTTCACCCGAGCTACGGTGATGGAACAAGGAGTAAAGTTGTAGGCGAATCAACTTGTACGCGAATCGACTTGTACGTAATTGCTTCCTTCAAGTATGGAAGAATTTGCTCATTGTTCTAAAGATAAGATCACATGCAAAACTGACTTGCATTTTTGTGAACTGTGGTGAAAACAAGAAAATTTTTTCGTGTTGTTTCCCTCTCCGCCTCTTCTCTCGTAGTCTGCCGTCTGTAGTGGAATCTTAATGTTCTATATTTGCGCGACTCAACCCAGTGCTACAAACAAACGACAACGCTCGTCCAGCCGTAGTTCGTAGTCCGTAGTCTCCGTATCTTAAACTCCCTACTGTCGCATAACTCCGTTGCTGTACGAGCTACACTGACTACCGGTTAGGCAACGCATTAGTTTTAAGATTCTACTATTTGTTTTCATGGTCATCCATGGATTCGCGCCAACGTATTTAAGAGAACTTGTGTCAATTAAAAGATCAGGAAATTATCATTTAAGATCCTCCTCGGACGATTTGTTGCTTACAACGCCAACTTACAGAAGTAGGGTTACATTAGGAGACAGATCATTTTAGGTCGCAGCTCCGGCACTCTGGATTGTATTAGGGATTTTTAAGTGTCATCTGAAAACGCACCTCTTTAGGGAAGCTTTTTATTAATTTTTATCACGATAATTACCAGTGTCTTAACATATGTTGTATATTTTAATTTTATCATGGTATATTTCAAATAATTATTAGTTAGATACCCTGTATTAAATTATTATAGATAGAAATCATGTAATGTGCGCTTGATCATTTCATGGAAAGCGCGCAATATAAGAATTAAATTATTATTATTATTATTAAAATTCTGTACCTCCATCTCGTCAATAATATTTTCATGCAATCTATATCTCAAATAACGCCACGCCCTTTTTTGAATACTTCCATTTGTGCTGTCATTGAATTAATTTTCACAAATGGAAAAATAGCCAGACATATTTATCGAGCGCCAAATCGTTTTTAAGGAGAACAGCCACTGACAATGCCTAAGGTTTAAACCCGGGGATTGCAGCGATTGTTGCTAAGAACGTTAACGTCCACGATTCCCAGCCGTCCTTCATTGATGAGAAATCGGCGAGAGGTGCAGCCTCCGTTCTCGCTAAGCCGTGGTGGTTTCCGCCTCGCTAATTAGTTTAACATCAGATTGGAAGCGCTCTATCCAAGGTACCTTCTGAACTGAACCCTGACTGGAATGAGTTAACTCCGGAGAGAGCCTTTTTGGTGCTGGTGGTTTGTAGAAACAGATGAACTAGGGTTCAATAAAAGGGACTTTACACGTCCTGAGACAAAGCGAGGAGTCCTGCCTTCCATTTGTTCCTTGTGCGATCCTTCTTGGCTTCGGGGCGCAAGGTTGGATTAGGATCAACCTTTGGAAGGGGGCTTCCTTGTCAGTTAAAAGTCTTGGGTCAATCAGCCGTCATCCCTGGCTCAGCTTCGCATACAACGTTGCCAAATTCCAACGCAAAATTAGTGGCTTTAAGTGTAAACTGTAACTGCATATATCCTCAGATTTCCTCAGACGTTTGTTACGGTAAATCAGCATACCTAAGAGTTGAGGATTTGGCTAGTTTTATCCATTGCTCGTTCCTCAAGGGGTAGTCAAGAAATGCTTCATTTAAGTTTGTAAGCATTCCACGGCTTGAACTACAAGCAGCTGTGCCTTCAACACGCAAAGACGCTAATGAAGAAAATGGATCTGCCTATCAAATGCACGAAGTACTGGACAGATAACGAGATAGTGCTCCCCTACTTGAAGAACGCAAAACGTCCCTTCTAGACATTATCAATTGTGTAGAAGAAATAAGAGAGAACTCTCAGCCGGAACAATGGAATCACGTGCCAGGATTCCTAAATCCAGCTGAAGACATTTTGCGCAGCTTGACTCCCTTGGAGTCAAACATCACCGATGGCTACAAGAGCCTGAGTTTCTATAGCGACCTGAATCCCGTTGGTCTAATGCAGCAGTATTCTGGTTGAAGAATTATAGTTAAAGTACGAGTCTCATGTTGAGCCTGGTACGCAAAGTGTTAACTCTGATCTTGATCCCTGCGTCTCACTGTAGCACCAACAGATGTTCGTCACAGACTGCTCACTAGTTCGTCTGTTTAAAATACGTTTATAGTCCTCATAGCTTGGCTTGTCCGTTTTTTCCAGTTCTTTCGTTGTCTGAATACTGCTCTAAAAGGTTACCTAACTCCAGATGTATATGATGCTGTTACTACAGGAATTATAAGATTCTTTCAGCATTCGGCTTATTCACAAGAAATCAAGGATCTCATATCTAGGGGTAGTGCTAGTGTCAAGCCATCCAGTAAAATCGCGAGTTTGTACTTGTTTGTACTTGCTGGTCACGGAGTTTTGAGAGTCAAAGGGCGTCTGTTATCCCCGCCATCATCTCTACAAATCAGATCAACCTCCAAAGGAGCTCTAGCTTTGCTACGCGAACGATGATTCGCCACACCTATGAATTGATCGGTCACCCCGAGCGTGAACATATTATTGCGAAAGTACGCTTGAAGTTTTGGATTTCTCAGATCGGGATGCTTCTTTGCTCTGTTCTCAGCCGATGTATTGTCTGCAACAAATTTCATAGTAAGCCAATAACTCAGCAAATGATACCTCTTCTGACAAGTCGCATGATGGCTTATCAGCCACTCAATTCCTTCTCTGGAATGGACCTTTTTGTCCCCTTTAGACGTCAAGCTTAAAGGGAGTACAGTGAAACGTTGGTGGTGCCTGTTCCCGTTAATTCTTGAACACACGTGCGATTCTTCTCGAGTTGACCCACTCAGTGGTCATACAGGATTTCATAATGTGTTTCACAATGTTCAAAAATCGTCGCGGCAAGGTGGTCCAACTGAGGTGTGACAGATCAGGCACCACACAACCCACACGACCTTCAGCCAATCATCCCTTCTCACTTCATAATGCACAGAAAGACTGTTTGCTTACGCCCAGGTTCTTTTGAAAGGACAGAACAATTCCATCGAAGAAAGTGGAGGCAGGTGAACGTTCTGGTGGATTTTTTTTGGAAGAGGTCGTTGCGAGAGTATCTTCCCTTATTGCAAGTTAGAGAGAGAGGGCGCAGGGCTCTTCCTAATTTGAAACCGAATGCTCAGGTACTTCTGTTTGAAGAAAATGCATAACGAGGTCGCTGGAACCTTGGTGGCGTTAGTCAAAACTTGCCGTCTTTTGGAGACTTATTATGAGGACCTCTATAGTGCTGCATGATGCTGGATCTCCAACCCTAGGCGTCCCAAGGGAGCGGAATGTTTGGGAACGAACGTTTTTTTTTTGTGTAAACACATCTCAGGATTTCATTTTTTCATTCCAGTCTTTCTTTCGTTTTCCCGCCAATTTTCACATGACATTTCGTTGCGCTTTAAAAATAGTAGCTGGCGCCCTTTACGCGTAGTGGAAACGGTTGGCGACATGCAATGCACCTCATGTCTCACATACGTGTGAGCCCAAACTAGATAATTTGCTAGTTTAGCTGAATCTTATTGCTCCCAAAAACTACATAGAGAGACTTTAAAGATGTTCTTAAAGAGGGGTGGAGTGAGAAGCACAATGTGTATTCATGGGCAACTCCAGCACTTGCACAATGAACACAGAAAGGGAGTCCTAGGCCTTCAGGCTCAACTAATAACAATCCGTCGGGCAAAACCAAGAAGGCTATCTTTGAAGACTACGCGGGCGAGCGACAAGTACAAGGAACTGAAAGTCAAGCTGAAAGAACAATAATTTTCCCATCTCGCTTTTGCCCTGGGCCATTCCTACCGAATAAAAGTTTTCAATTAATATATACGCCATGACTGAATAACATGCATACTAACAATCTCTCAACGACGATATTATGCCGCAGTTCCTGGAAGCCACTGTGGACAACTCGATACCCTCAGATTTACCTATTTCGCTACCCGCCAACAACATTCCAGAACAACGCGAAAAGCTGGCAGTTCTTGTTTCCACGGGAAAGTCAAAAGAGGCCCTCGGTTTCCAACTCATTAGCAAGAGAAACGCCTTTCAAACTAAGATGTGGAGAGATATTATAAACTGCATGAGGCCCACGACTTGGCGCAAGACCACCGAAACGTTGATTATAATAGCTCTTTTGATGCCCGGTAGCAAAGCCATTGGTATGTTCGTCAAAGTGGATGGCGTGGAAGCTTTGCAAAAGGACATGCAAGAAAAATTGATAATTAACTTGGTGTTGTCGTGGAAACTTTGCAAAAGGACAAATAATATGCAAAGAGGTTTTTTCATAATTAACTCTGCGTTTCCGTCTGCATGTGGCTGGTATTACGGCATTGCGCTGCGGCCGCCTGTTCGTGGTTGCCAACACTGCTCTGAATTAACAACCAAATACATTGTCTTTAAAAAAAAACAAAAAACGAAAAACAAAAAGCAGAAAAAGCAACCTGCGAAAAACCCTGGACAATTTCTTGGCTAAGAAATTCACAACAAAATTTTTTTTAAATCATTAGTATATGGAAGAGAAAGCTGATCCAACTCCCGAAGTTCCACCCTTTACGTTTTAAGTTCCAGCCGCACCCATTCAAGTTAGCTCAAAAGTCAAAAGTAACATGGCTTGCAAAAAATACTTGACGAGATGCGACTGGTAATATAACCGCTTACATACACCGGTGATTAAGCACCGGTGTAAGTCAGTGTCAAGGTGTCATCCTTGTGTAACAGAACTTTCCTCACCTTGTATACTACTACTTCGCCTTATTTGCTCTTTATTCATGGAAAATCCGAGAGAAAGTCGTCTTCGTGAAGATTTAGCGCTAACCCATTCTAACGCCCATATCCATCATTTTTCCATAACACTTGTTTTAAATTCATGTTGTTATTGAAAAAGCTGTTAATTTTCTTAATGGTATCATTGTTTGACTTTCTTGCATGAAACAACGCTACAAATACGATTACGAATACGATTCCTTGATGAAGTAACCCTACAGAATTGATGTTAAACATGCAAACCCGTATTCCCAAACATTGTTTTGTTAAAATGGAGAGAGTAAGTAAAGAGTATTGTTGGAGAGGGGGTCCGTACGCCAACAATCCCTCCAGTTTAGTATGCGCAACGACGGTGTAATACTAAAAGGTGGCCGGCTTTGTATGGTGTTTACTGACTGTTAAAATTAGATCACTTACCCCATGAGAGGTTAGTGTACCCTCCAAATATGTATTTCCCTCCGACTCTTATGATTGTTACAGTTGGTCCTTTGTTGTCACATCCGGTGTGAAAAGTACTGGCAGGCCAGCCATCCACGGACGCACGCCAACAGCGCTTCCATTTTGAAGATTCGCTTTGGGCGACTGGTTTGAGCCATGTGCTTAAATTAGATAAGTGTTGCACATTATCTCCTACGATAACGGAGTCAGTCAGTCCCTCTAAAAAAACTGATATAAGGGAAGAGAAAAGAAACGGTAATTCAGGTAACATCTTTTTTCGAAACTGATACCACTTGCAGTGAAACCTGTATTAAGCGGACACCGCATTAAGCGAATGTCCTCTATTAAGCGGACAGTAGCCGAAGTCCCCAAATTTATTTCCCTTTAAGCGGACGTGGACACCTGAAGAGCACCTGAAATGGTCATTTTTAGTGTTTCCAACCTGTATTAAACCGACACTTGTAATTAAATTCCCCCACCCAACATGCCAGACACCAGAAATGCGAAAGATTACCACCCACAAATTTTCGATTTTTACATCAAAAAACGTGAGTTGAAAAAACTTATTTGATTAGTTTCACAGTACAGTATTGCTTTCTATTTCGTTTTGTTTGTATAGAGCTTGTTTCGCTAATCTGAACATAAATGAACAACTTGTAAAATGAAATTGCGTAAATAAAATACGTTAATTACAATTATTAATTTAAAATATTTCGCCGTTTCTGATTGGCTCAAAGCCCCTAATCAACTGGCGTTTACCATATTTGGAAGATGGAGCAATATGCTATAAAATCGACGGTATATTGCTCGAATCTTCTAAATATAAAATCGATCAACTTCGTTTCCAGGCACGGCCGCCTAGATGATTATAGAACTCTGAACTCTCACGACTATCCGGAACAGTTGAATTTTAATCTAAAACTGAACAAAAGAATTGCAAGAATACACAAAACAAATTACTAGATGGATGTTATCTACTTTTTTTGGGGGGGGGGGGCACTGCAAGACTGTGCCGAGAAATGGGCCAAAGATTTGAAGAAAGTCTTCGATGAGGTAAATTGGTAAGCAAGAATTAAGAGATATTTTGAAAGAAAAATAAAACAATGAATGAATTAGGCTTTCGTGTAATGTAAAGAATCATGCAAATCTCGGAGGATGTTATGCACCTCAACAACCTCCTCAATCTGCAAAATTCTTTATCCTACTCAGCCTCATTCAATAATTGCTAATGGTGGTTTTAAGTAATTACTTCTTAAAAGAGGTAATTATATATTTAGAAAAATAAGTACGTTATACGTGCAACAAAATGTAGACATGAATTAAATTATAGAATAGTGCATGTATGCATCAATAAGTATGAATGTAACGTCCTACATCCTTATTCAAATCTAATCCTTATTATGAACTAGATGATTTAAATTTACGCGCCATTTGCACTTTGGACGAAAGTGAGGTAGCGCATCAGTCTTAAGTGGCGGCTCATGATGCAGAGTTATTGAACCCTTTCACTGCCAAAGTGTTTGATGGAGTTTTGTAAGGTGACTCTAACTTTTGAGTCTGCAGACTCAAAAGGGGGAGATGTGACCATTTAAATGAAACCTCTTCACCGGTACTTTCACATGGTGCTATTTGTTTTTCAAAATTTTAGAAAATGAAATTTGGAAATCTGGTCGAATTTGCCTTTGGCTATATTTGGCAGTGAAAGGGTTAAAAGTCAAAAATGTTATTTTCAGGCATTTTCCTTTTGCTGACTGGTTTTGGGGACCGAAATTCTAAATTCGCGCCAAAATCATTGGTGAAAACGCCGTGACAAGAGTACATGGAAGTTACTCGCTCCGTGATACAGGCTTCAGCATAAGCATAACATGAGGTATGACGTCATACAATGATGGATAAGAAAGCGGATTGCCGATCTCATTAGCCACCAATTTGAATGCTATGATGTCGCACGTCCTCAGGAAACTTCCATAATTGATGTTATAACAGTAAAGTGACTGGTCTTTAGATAAGCTAATTATTTTCTCTTACCTCGGCAAGTTTTTCCATCGCCGTCGTATCCTTCCTTGCAAGTGCAGATATACGATCCACGAGTATTGGAGCAGTTGGCATTGCTGTCACATTCAGGAGGAGAAGCACTGCACTCGTCAATGTCTAGAAAAAAAAGCATATTGGAGTTCCACAAGGATCTATCGTAGGCTCCTTGATAACAAAATAAAATCAAATAATAATAATCAGGGGCGGATCTAGGGGGAGGGTGCAGGGGGTGCGCACCCCCCCTGAAATGACCTGCGGCTTTCTAATTAACACTGTGCAGTCTGCTTCACAGTTATACAAAATCTGCTTTATCATTTGATATGTATTCTCAGCAGTTCACATTATGTTATTGCCTAGTCGAAAGCCTTCTTCTTCGTATTCGCTATTAAAATTTGTTTACGTCACCAGTCAATTACGCCATTCCTTAGTAGTGCAACCCCTCCTACGAATAATCCTGGATCCGCCTCTGATAATGAATTAATAATGAAAATATTCAACCTTGTTCGATCCCCGTTGAAAACAGTCTGAATTTCCTCAACAGGGAACAAAACGTCTTAGAGCTTTCTTCTTCTTCGCCATCGAGTTGTCCACGCCTGAACTGATCAATGTTTTTTATACATCTCTCATAATTCTTCTAAAGCAGAGTTTATCTATATAGGCTGTTCCAAAACCTAGGGTTGCCCGGTGCTGTTGCTTCATAATTTTGTTTTTCTACCGGTCTATGTGGGTTACTAAGCAGCTACAGCATTACTTTTCGGTTAAATAACGTACTTGAAACGTTTTAATTCTTTATGCGCGGCCTTTTAAAGAATTTGATACATTTACCCAAAAAGTTTCTAATGACAGAGGTATAACCCGAGGCATGATGCCGTGCACTGCCCTCAATTAAACGGACTGGATTTGATGGATTGCCGATTTTTACTGGTCGTCCACAAATCCCTGGGAATCTGCCATCTTCGTTGTTATCACAGTAAATCGACCTTTATCCTACCTTGGCAAGTTTTTCCATCGCCTGTATATCCAGCCCTGCAGGTACAGATGTACGATCCACGAGTATTGGAGCAGTTGGCATTGATGTCACATACAGGAGAAGAAGCACCGCATTCGTCAATGTCTACAACAAGCATATTGATTGATGAAAAAATTATTGAAGGGTATTTACTCAGGCCTTAACATGTGACGCGAACAGCACTCGTTCCTCCGTGACAAGAGTCTTTTTTCCCTTAAAATTTCTCTTTTTTTGTCCGTGTCTTATCAGTTTAAATCTACCAGTTAACTTTTCATCAGTCGCCGCATCCGTGACTAAATATGAAATGATTTACGTCAGTCGTCTAATAATCATAAATTAACTTATCAGAGGACACAATGAACTTAACGGCAGTCGCAGATTATATAACTGACTATAAACTCACCGTTGGTCTCCATATTACAATAAGCCAAGACAGATGTACCAGATTTTATAGTTGAAAACCAGTATTTCCCGCTAACAGCGTGTCCTTCACTCCTCTTTATTTCGTCACAAGTCTCAGCTGGTAGTTCTTGAATCGAACCAAGGCGAACTGAAAGGTTAAAAAAACAATCCTTTATTATCAGTTTGCCTTTACCCCTGCATAGTGTTTACTTTATGTACGGGGCGCTACTCAGCAAAGTTTTATACGGGGAGGTTCCCCCCCGAGGTCCAACCCCTTACCCTTTAATATAACGTTTTTGACAAAAAAGGTACCTCTTTCGTATTCCTTCCATCACGAATGCTACTTATTGAACATACCAAGTACAGAACTACCGTAAAATTCAACGTTAAAGCCCCAGGCTTATATAACTTCATAAAGGGTTTTGTGTGGGCAGGGGGGGTTCAAAAAAACAATTTCCTGTGTTTCATAGTTCCAATTCAAGTGGCTACTGTTTTACAAAACGCGCTTATACATAAGACCGGCTTATATCCCGGGGGAAGGCTTATATCCAGAATAATATTTTCGTTAGCAAATGGATGGGTATAAATCCGGGGGGGGCTTCAACATGGGATTTTACGGTAATTTTGCATCCCTCTTAACTGCTGTAAATGCTCTGTCCTTTAAACTTGAATTAGCACAAAACCAGAAATATTTCCGTCACTTTTTCTCATCCATAAAATGAATCTGTTCGCTCGTTTAGGCCATTTATAGGCCTGAAGAGATGACTATCTTTCCTAGACTTTCATATACTTCAAGCAGTGAAATTTCTTATACAGCTCTTTGATATATAAGATTACCCCCGGCACTTAATGATGGCTTACCTCGTTGTAAATCGCGTCGATAGTAAGATCTGTCTTGGTTTGGGATGAAGTCTTCAGGTCTGGCTTCCTTTGTCCTGTTGTTAAACTCGCACGTGAGAAGAGATATAACCCAGTTAAAACTTTGGCATCGATTGTCTTCGCGACACTTGAATACGCACGTAAACGGAAGTTCAGCGAGAAGAGTGTCGTACACGTGTCCTCGTAACATCCAGCCCACGATGGAGCTCTCGGATCTACCACCTGCGGGACATTTTTGAGTTACTGCGCTGTAGAGCAGAAGAGCCAGAACATATACACGGAACACTATTCTTGCCGTCATGTCTGGAACTAAAGAACATAAAAGTATTTTGTTAAAACACAAGCTTTACAAAAGGTGAGCTTATAACCGATTAATTCGTCGAACGTTTCCGCCTGGGGAAAAACTTGCATACTGCAAAGCATCTAAAATAGCCAATTTTCAAAGCGAATTTGATAAAACTTGTAGAAACCGTAACAAACACATTTTTGTTCGAAATAATTTTATATTGATTATTCCTCCTTTTCAAAATCCACCTGCTGGTTGTTAGCTAGAGGAATTAATAAGCCGGTAAAACACTTTAACAGAAAAACTTACTCGAAGGTGGCTGCGTTGTCGCCATTTTCTCTGTTGTAACACGCACTTTTCTCCACGAATTTTCAATTTTACCGCCGTACATGAGAAATTCCCGGATGTTTTGCGGCATTCTGTGCGATGAGTTATTCTTCTAGTTGTGTTAAAATTCAGAATACAAGATGGTTGTGATTATAACTAGCGGAGGGAAAATAACTGTTGACTCGAGACGACAATCAATATTAAGAAAACAGAATTACTGCTTGAAATTTTCACTAGTTCTCTTCACCCACGACCCGCAAAAAAATAATTCTAGTAGGTGCATTTCTAAGTAAGGCAAAACTTTTATCGTTAAAACCCAGCAAAATGAAAGACCCATAAAAGCAAGTGAAATTGAGAAAACTTAAAAATAACCTCAGAAAGAAGAGAAAAAGCACTTGGAAACCCTCAAATCAGGTTTCTACGATTCATTTGTGGTACTTATGCAAATAAGCTTCAACCTTGTTTAGATGTTTTTTTGGAGAAGAGTGAAGAATGGCAGAGGAAATTATGGTACTAAACTATAACTGCTGGATATGGAACAAGCGCGTTTTTAACTAGTGAGTACAATCAAACATTTTAGTGAAAATCCTTTTTATTTCAAAGATTATTTTAAAAAAAATTCTTGCACTTACTAAAGACGTCCCTGAAAACATACAAAGACTAAATTTTTGTGGAATTAAGATAGGACTTATACTTAATTTATCATGATAGAAGACCAAAACCTGAAAATATCGATTCCTCAATCCTACGGTCAGTAAACCCCATGTCATTATGGGGTGGTAGCTTTTAACTTTGACGGATAATTGTTTCCAATTTTGACGGCTAACTGTTAGAATTTAGTGGTTTTGACGGTTATTAAGTGGAAATTGGGTCCAAAAATTGACGTAGATATCAACTTCTGTATGAATTAATATTGTCTGATGTGTTTAGAGGTTGTCTTGGCCTTTCACTTACTAAATTTCAAAATATTTTCAGATATAAGCAGGTTGTAAGGTACTGCATTGTCTAGAAAGAGTGTTTTTTGACAAGAGAACTGGTTTTTCCAGTTTAGAAATTCTTTAGGAGACGGAATTCCGTTAAGATCAGCTGAAATTTTAAGATTTGAAACACCTAGAAACTTTTTGACGGTTAATCTTAAACTGCATTTTTGGCGGTTGACGGTTAAATATAACATCTTTTGACGGCTGACGGTGAATTGTCAGGCCGTTTGACGACCGACGGTAAAACCCCGTTGAGACCTTCATACCAGGCAAATTAATTATTGCGCCATAAGCTACACGAAAATATCGGAAGCTCCTGGATTGTGTTGCATTTACAACATTATTCTGAATGGCTAAATAAATAAATGAGGCTTTTTTTAAAGTTACAACATTGAAGAAAATTTTAAGCTTTTTTTCACACTTTGTTTGCGTTTTTTTTGGCTCATTGATTGGTTTCTTTTTTCTTTCTCGCTTAGAGTGCATGAGCCTTCCCAATTAATCTCTGAGGCACCTGTGTCAAGACCTAACCAAAAAACGGCATATATACCTTTAGGAGCTTCTAATAAACAAATAAACAACTACAACGGCGACAACATGAAGTAAATTTGCGTCGTTTTTCTAACTAGTTAAAATGCAGATCGACTTAAACCAATAACAAAAACAAAACAAAAACCACATCCAAAATACAGGACAACTCGGATTAATATTAATCGGATTAATATTAATCCTAATGATTATTATAATCCAGTAATAGATTATTATAATCCAGTAATAGATTATTATAATCCATTACTGAGGTTTGAGCCGTGCCTTGATCAATTAGGATTAATATTAATCTTATGTAGGATTAATATTAATCAGATTAATATTAATCCTAATATTAGATCCAGTAATAGATTATTATAATCCATAACTGAGCTTTGAGCCGTACCTTAAACGATTAGGATTAATATTAATCTCATAAATATAATCCCACATAGCTCAAATTTGTACAAGTCTCTCAATAAAGAAAATATTCTATTCTAACCACGACGAATTTGCTACTTGTGCTAGTAGTTTGTGAACAAAACTCTTAATTACATTCAGTCAATAACCGCACTCCTTATTATACGTTATTATATTTTAGTAGCAGCAGTCGGCAGTTGTCTCAGCTCTGCTGGTAATACAGTTGCAACTGAATTTTTTGCAGGGCCATGAAGATTTTTAACGTAGAATAGAATAAAGAGCTTAATTAATAGAAAAAATAACAAAGTGAAAGGGATGTCAGTGCGTACATCATCAAAGGAAATGCTTGAATCTTTTCCAGTTATTTCTAAAAGACTCAGTCTTTCTGAGTTTGATCCATAGAGATAGTTATTTCCCAGGGAGCATTTCATGATTTGGACCGTCTGCGTATATGCTGGACTTAAAGTGGGAGTTTGTGTTAGAGGACTGGGTTTCAGGATTGGTGTCATAGAAGGAGCCATTGTTGTTGATGGGTTAGCTGGTGGCATCCACGAAGGCGTATGATTGACTGAAGTGTTGGCACCAATTTCAGCTGGACGGAAGAACTCTAGAGTTATGTTGGCAAGTGACCTTGCAGACAACATATCCTGTATGCGTTGATAACGATAGTTTATACATGCCTTGTCATTCACTTTAACAAGAATGTCGCCATCTCTAATCTGGGAGAATGATGCCGACTGTTCGACAGCTTCAACAATCCAGCCTCCTCCAATTATTGTTTCCGGTGCTGCACTCACCCTGATTCCAGCTTGCAATCCGTCTTTAAAAGCTACACTGAAAAACTGTCCAGCCCTTAGATTTTTCACATATTCTTTGTATTCATTAGCCCTTGTTTTCCATAGGACACATCCAAGTTTTTTCTTAAATTCCTCTACGATCTCTCCGCGGCGCATGTTCACAGGATTTTCAGCTCGCTTCCTTTTCTCTTCCTCTTCCTCTTTCTTCCTTTTTTTCATTTGATCTGTCAAATGTTTTTCCTCAGCTTCTTCGAAATTCATGTTCATAGTCGCCATCGTGATATGCCGGCTCCGAACCTCGAAACAGTTAGTGTCTTTGGGATTGTCGCGATTCCTACGCAGCTGGTAGTTATTCCCTTTCTTAAGGTCCCCTTTCTTGTAAAAACACATGCCCATCGCACGGATTCGCTGGCCCAGAGGCGCTTGTTCCTTTTCATTTACTTCTAGGCTCAACATCGCTACCAGCTCTAACATATGCAAGTGATCGTGTGACTGATGTGATCAGTGTTATGTCCCGTCAGTCCCTTGTTCAGCGTGTAATGTCTGCAGTTTGTCTGTCATAGCTCTGATGTGGATTATAATAGAGATTAATATTAATCCGGATGATTATTATTAATAATAATCTAATCCTTCCAATTTTTGCCGTGCCTTAATCTATTACTGGATTATAATAATCTATTTCTGGATTATAATAATCTATTACTGGATTATAATAATCTATTACCGGATTATAATAACCATATTATAATCTATTATTATTATAATCCACGGATTAATATTAATCCGAGTTGTCCTGAAAATAGGAAAGAAAGCAAAAAATCGTATGTTGACCTCTTTTACAGACCTTAGTCTTAGTATCTCGAAAAGGATTATAACTTTCAAAAATGTGATGCATTAGCGGAGAGTTGCGAATTTGATATTAATTAATATTTAATAACAAACACAATGCAAAAGGTTGCCATTAGTAAAATGTATTAGTTGTGGGTAGAATATTAGATTCATATAGCAGAGTAAATTGATCATCAAGAATTGGCTTTCTAAACTAAATTTTTAAAATAAACACTTTGGCCACCGGTCATTTCGCTCCCGGTCAGACTCAGCCAGGGGCGCCCCCGCTCGGTAATATTTTCCTTTTTAATAAAGCAACTTGTTTACATCAACAAAAAATTGTCGCGAAAAAGTAAGATAGAACAGAACAAAATTTTAAAATATTCAGTACCCCTAATCAAAAAAGAATCAATAGTTATTTTTTTTTTGTTGAGTTTTAGAAAAAAAATCCTATATTGAAGAAAAAGCAAATTCAATGCTGCAGTTGGTTACTTTTAGTAGGTAAATGGAGAAGCATTTAAGTCTCATATGTTTTTGTTTTGTTTTTTCAAAATTATATTTCAAGGACGGGCTCAATTTTTAAGGAGCGTGAATAAAATTTAGCAGGTGAATTAAATATTTGAGTCACGAGATTCGATGTCAGGTTTGCAAATAATAGAACCTCAAGTTACACAAACACGTTTTTGAATTACTGTAGAATATTATTTCTCTTCCTAAAGACTGTAGATTGCAAATTACATTTTCTCTCTTGTATTGATATAGTTAATGCATTTAGAATGTCTGAAAATATTTGCTGAAGCATATATACGGATAGCATCAAGCATCACAGTCTAAATCGTGAACTTTTACATTAGAAGTTTTCCTTTAACGATAATTATGTTTCTTTAACTGTTGCTAGACACTACGCACATCAAACTTTCACTTGGTTATCGTTACTTGCTTTGTAGATTCCACACAGAAATGTTGTTTGGGTCTTCTAGTCTTTTAATTTATTAGCATGCGTAACTGACTCTTAACCCACACTGAAGCCTTATTGTTATAATATTATTGTGAAGAGCTTCCTCGAATCATCTGTTTTGTTAGAGAACTAACGTGCTTGGGCAAAGCATAGTGTTTTACCAAACCAGACCTTTTTGTAAAAGTCGTAAAATTCGTTTTTATTCTTTTTATGTGCCATATTTGCTGAAGCATATATACGGATAGCATCAATCATCACAGTCTTAATCGTGAACTTTTACATTTGAAGTTTCCCTTTAATGATAATTAAGTTTCATTAACTATTGCTATACACTATGCACATAAAACTTTCACTTGGTTATTGTTACTTGCTTAGCTCTTTCTAATCTTCCTAGATTCCACACAGAAATGTTGTTTGGGTTTCTCCGTCTTTTAATTTATTAGCATATTGCGTAATTGACTCTTAACCCACACTCAAGCCTTTTGTCAGGGGCACCCAACGACAATTTTCGGGGAAATATCTGTTCGGAAGACGATTTGAGATCTAGAATTTTCGGAACATTTGTTGTAAAATTTCTTGCTTGCATGCCTCTCCTAGGTTTTTCGAACAAATAAAAAATGTTATACTTGCCCATTTTTAACTAATTTTTACCCTAAAAAGTTCACCTAGAATTTTCGGGAGCCTATTTTCTGGCTAAAATTTTCGAAAAGGTAAGTTTTGATCCCTACAATTTTCGGATCACTAGACTTTCAGCTAGGAAATCCGAACAGTTGAAAATTTTTTAGGGGATAAAAATATGCCTATATCTACGGTTTAAATACTAAAATACATTTGATAATGCTATGTTTAAGTGGTTTTGAACTATATTCTCGTTGGGTGCCCCTGTTTTGTTATAATTATTGTGAACAGCTTTCTCGAATCATCTGTTTTGTTAGAGAACTAACTTGCTCGGGCAAAGCATAGTGTTTTACCAAACCAGACCTTTTTGTAAAAGTCGTAAAATTCGTTTTTATTCTTTTTATGTGCCATTTTTTTACCATCTATGAAAATGCATGCCATTAAAAAATAGTGTTCAGTTAAGATGAGCACCAGAGTCTGTATATTATTTAACAAAAACTTTCAATTAGAAATAATCACGCAATATTCTGATCAAGAAGGAAGATTTATTATTATAGACATGAAAATCGAAAACAAGTTTTAACTTTGGTTAACATTTATGCACCAAACAAGCAAGGACTATCCTACTTTTTCCCAAAATCTTCTCGATCATCTGCTCTCTTTTGAATGTGAAGAAATTATTACGGGAGGCGACTTTAATCTGGTCATGGACGGTTCAGAGGAATAAAAACGGAGGAAACGCGACAACGCATAGAAATCCGCTTAAAAAAGTCCAGAACATAGCGAACTCGCTGGACCTGATAGATCTGTGGCGAACCCTAATCCAGACGGTAAGCGTTTTACCTGGCGGAGAACTAAACCTAAAGTGCACTGTCGTCTCGACTATTTTATGATCAGTTCAAGCCTAATCACAGCAATCACAAATGTAGATATTTTACCGGGTTATAGGACCGATCATTCCCTCATTACAATCCACCTTGCTGGTAATAATAACCCTAGAGGCCCCGGTTTCTGGAAACTCAATACGTCTTTTCTGTTGGACAGCGAGTATATTGAGATAATTAAAAAAACTATTGATGGAGTTGCAATGGAGAACAGAAACAATGACGATGTAGATGTTGTCCTCCTCTGGGACACTATAAAGATGCACATTCTTTCTCGCTCGCTAAAATACGCAAGAGAAAAAAAGGATAAAAAAAGGAAGAAAACAAATTCTCACCAGTTTCTAGGAGTCGCGGCGGCGGTAGTGAGTATGTTGAACCTTTTTCCGTAGTTGATGCGTTCACGAAGAGTAAGGGGTGTCCCCGATAACGGAATTCGTCTCAAACAGTGTTGCAATGGTAAGAATTTGATATTAATTAATATTTAATAACAAACACAATGTCAAATGTTTCCATAAGTAAAACGCATTTTTAGTTGTAGAGTATCAGTTTCATATAGCAGAGTAAATTGATCGTCAAAAATTGGCATTTTAAACTAAATTTTTGAAATAAACACTTTGGCCACCGGTCATTTCGCTCCCGGTCAGACTCAGCCAGGGACGCCCCCCGCTTAGTAATATTTTCCCTTTTTAACAAAGCAACTTTTTTACATCAACAAAAAATTGTGCAGGAAATGGAAGATAGAACAGAACAAAATTTTTAAAGGAGTGGTTAACGCTATGTCAATTCTTTCTACTCTAGTAAGTAAGTAAGTAAAACGTTATTTACACAGAGTAGCCCATTCAGCTCCAAGGCTGGTCTCCATAGGGGCTCTGTATCTTAAAAATTAATTTACATCAAGAATTTTCATGAACTATTACACTTAAAAACGCCTAATAAAAATACAATAATAGAACTTAAGAACTACATTAAAAATCCTAAAAATACAATGCAAAATCACATTTAAAGCCTAAAATATAATAAAATATCAAAGTTATGATAAAAAGAAATGTCTTGCCCGGCAGCAGAACGTTTTTCCTAAATTTTAGGATATTAAGTACCCCTGATAAAATCAGAATCAATAGTTATTTTTTTTGTTCAGTTCTAGAAAAAAAAATCCTATATTGAAGAAAAAGCAAATTCAATGCTGCAGTTGGTTACTTTTAGTAGGTCAATGGAGATGCATTAAGTCTCATATGTTTTTGTTTTGTTTTTTCTTTCCAAATTAATTATCGAGGATGGGCTTTTATTAGCAGGTGAAATAAGTATTAGTCATGAGACTCGATGTCAGGATTGCAAATAATAGGACCTGAAGTTACACAAACACTTTTTTGAATTACTGTGGTAGAATGTCATTTGTCTTCCTAAAACACTGTCGATTGCAAATTACATCAGTTTTCTCTCTTGTATTGATACATTTAATGCATTTACAATTTCTAAAAATATTTGCTGAAGCACACGGATAGCATCACAATCTAAATCGTGAACTTTTACAAGACGTTTGCCTTTAATGATAATTAAGTTTCTTTAACTGCTGCTAAGAACTACGCATATCAAACTTTAGTTTCGCTATCGTTACTTGTGTAACTCTTTCTAATCTTTCTAGAATCCACACAAAAATGCCTGGGTTTCCTAGTCTTTTAATTTTTTAGCATGCGTAATTGACTCTTACCCACACAGAAAGCCTTTTGTTGTAATTATTGTGAACAGCTTTCTCGAATCATCTGTTTTGTTAGAGAACTAACGTGCTTGGGCAAAGCATAGTGTTACTAAACCACACCTTTTCCTAAATTCGTTTTTATTCTTTTTATGTGCCATTTGTTTTGCCATCTATGAAAATGCCATCAAAAAATAGTGTTCAGTTAACGTAGCAGTGAGGCAAATCATGCTCTTAT